GATTGGTCCAGACGCTACACGGATTTTCTCTATTTTGGTCGCACTACCATAGACATCAATGTTTATATCTGAATTATAAACTTTCATCCCAGTATTTCTGTGATAATATGAATGACTGTACAACAGAAATAATACTGTGTAGTTGAAAAGACTGTTTGTGAAGCTGTTTCTTAACCAAACATGGTGACTGCTCTCTGTGTGTCAGCGGCAGTGCGAACGCAGATTTGAATGAACCGGCAAGACTTTGTCAAAGGTTTAATAGACACGGGAGAATCATTGTCATTTAGAAATGAGATTGTGTGGTTGAATCGAGATCGCAATCTTTTAACGATTAATCGTGCAGCTCTAATGTGCTTGCATTTGCTTAATTGTTTAAACCAAATATTCAAAAAAACAAAGCGCATTACTGACCCTTTTCCTCTCAGTAATAACATTACTGAACAATAACGTTTCACCAAGGCATGAACCAACACTACATGTCAATGATCTCTTTGTGGAGATAGAAGGCACTAGGGTTGTGCCGATAGACCATAGTATTGTGTATCAACGATAGACAAAGATATCGCATGTGGCTGATGCTTTTGACGATAGCAAGACGATTATTATTATCATTATTATCAGGCTAGTAATACTATCAAATTAATACTAGGTCTTATTTGTTGCATTATATTTATTTTTCCGCGTTTTTACAGTATTGCGCGTTCAAACCAGTCACACGCGATTATGCTGAGCTTATGAATACAATGTTAAATACAAATTCAGTCATATTAAAGGATAATATCGTGTATCGGCGATCTCACAGGCTGACGATATGAAAATTGAGCATATCGCCCAACACTAGAAGGCACAGGGAATTCACCAATGAGGCAGTACACAGTATGTTGTTGTTTGCAGTAAGAATACAGTTCAAAGTCCAAAGCAAGCATAAATGAAACCTCACTAATGTAACCAATCCAAAGAGCCTTCAGGGTGAAACAAGAGTGGTTCCCCGACCCAGAAACTCAGCACAGCAGATGAATAAAAAAGGAAAACTCTGTGTACAAACAAATAAAAACTAAGTTGCTTCAGTCCAGACATTCAACTTTACATATACAAAGTCCATACAACTTAGATTGATATGTACGTACTATAATATTCCTCAAAGTAGGGCAAAAATAGCAAATGAGATGAACTCATGGCTCCTGCTACAGAACATGGTTACACACTTGATAAAGGCCCTGAACCAGGTGTGTCCAGTCCTGCTTCAGAGGACCAGTGTACTGCAGAGTTTAGCTCCAACCTGCCCCAACACACTTGCCTTTTGTTTTCCGGGTGCGTTCCATTTAGACACACGCTTCCTTAAGCACTTGCCCTTAACACCTTAACAGTCCAAATGTTTGGTGTTTTAAGAACAACAGCGTTTTTGATGACTGCATACATGCAGCATGGCAAGACTTCGTCAGACCTTTGCATCATCAGACTTGTATCCGAACAACACAGAATTACTGTAGCAAAAGTAGCAGCAAACTTCATATTGATCTTGAAGACTCTGTTTTTACAAAATCCAACATCACCGACTTGCCCTAGCCAGCTCAGTCACCTGGCTTGAATATTATCAAACCACTGTGGGCAGTGGTTTGGAGATAAGAGTAAGGTGATGATTCACTCCTCCAACATCTCTGGTGTTTTGATATAAAGCATTAAACTGGAGACAATTGACAAGTTTTATGAATCTATTCAAAAAGGTTGGAAGCTGCATTAAAGGCAAATGGTGTTAAAATACCTTAATTAAGAAATACTGCATATTTCTCAGGTGTTCACATTATTTTGTCCAATCCTTGTATGCATACTTCAGGCAGGACCGTATACCACAACACGATATGATTATCACGGTATTGCAAATCATGCTTAATTTAAACCCACCCTAGTATATGATATACAAATAATTTTGAGATTTTGCACAGATGTCTTGTCACTGTCTGTGAACAGACCTGCTACCATCATATCATGAGCAAATTTGTTGTCAAACTTCGAGCTATGTGTGGCCACACATGCAGGGGTTAAAGAAGTGTACATATTTTCGAGCTCTTCCTAATCAAACATCTAATTCGCTCGTTATTAGTGTCTCCAAGACCTAAAAAGGATGGGTCAGAATAGGGAGACATCCAAAATGTGTGCTGTTTTTGTGCCTCCAGGAATAGGGATATAAACCGATGGTGTAGAGGGAAGTAATGTGCAAGAAGTGGGCTGGGAACACAGGAGGCTGAACTGGATGGTAGCCTTCCATGAGCAGGTCTGGCCAGCTCCATTTTACAACCTTTAGCGACCACAGGCAGTGAAAGAGAGATGTTGAAGATGCAAAGAGAAAACTGGTTTTAGTATGCATGCTTTGTGGACATGGCCTGGAATGCAGTCTGGACTCATGGCCAACAACTGTTTGAAAAATTAGGTTATGTCCGCTACAGAGAAATAGAATATACTAAGCATCTACCCAAAAATAAAAGATGTCGTCTGTGCGAAAACTGGCCAATAATTCATGGTGTCCGGTTGAGGTAGATGCATATTGTTTTGGTTGGCACTAAATGATCAATGCTAATAATCAAAATGGAGAAATAGCACAGACACTGGAAAAGGATAAATTCCTAGCACACACTATCAAGTGGAGTAAACTTTTGAAAGGCTATAATTTCACTCTGTACGCATAAAAACCTGAAGTATACGTTGAGCTTACGGTGTCACTGAGAGAACAGTGGGTTTGATGGCTAAATCCTCTGCAGATTGTAACCTAAATTTTTTTAAATGGCATTTAAATAGCAGAAAGTTGGTAAAAGGAGTGACAAGGATGCACAAATAGGGTGCAGTGTCGAGAGGCACCAAAGAGGTTTATTCATATTCTAGCTATAAATCTGGTTGTACTTGAGTTACATGAAAGATCATTCATAATACCATTCTATACCACATTCTGTCGAGGTACTATATTCTTGTATGGGTTTACATGAAGTTCCTGTGCCCAGCTCAGTATGTATTTGTTTTTAGTTGATCAGCCTGCTAATTACTGCTAACATGACTGTTTAGCCTAAATGCTTTAATTATCTATTGACTTTCTAGCAATTGTACTGCATGCATTTACTTTTCCTTCATTTACTTTTTTCTCCATTATCCAAGAATAATCTACTGGAGTTTTTTGTTCTTTGCCACAGTTGCCTTTGTTTGATATTTTGTATTGTGTATTATCTATTAGGTATAAATCCACTAACATTTCATACGCGATTTTCAAAGTTGTAGGATTGCTGTTTCTTTCACACAACATGACTGTTTTGGGTATCATGAAGTTCTTAAACAGTTCTTAAACAACTTGTCATTTGATTGTGGCAGTGATACTCATCACCAAATAGTAATTAGGCTATTTTGTTGCTATTTTTACACTAAATTGTTCTGAAGTGTACAAAACCTTACGGATTCATAATACTCTATCACCGCATAACACTCACATTATATACATGCTATAAAGCAAATCCCATCCACTTGATTTTATTTTATATCATCAACAAATGTAAACTATACTGTCACCCAGCTCTAAACTGCTGAATGTGAACAATTATAACATCATGAAACTTTGTAAAGCTGCTTTGAAACAAACTGTATTCCGAAAAGTGCAATGCAAATAAATTGACTTGACTAAAAGGGCAATACTTTGTCTTAACTGCAAATTTGCAACTTTTAATATATTGAACAACATTTTAAAGCGGACATCCAGTCTGCTTAAGGTTTATTTTTTGGACTGTTTAAGGCCACTAATCAAATGTAAACACATTTGTGACATTGGTAACTCATTTGTATAGAAGGTGTGGTTTGTTTGCTTCCACTAAAGCACACAAGATGTCTCTGAAATTCCACTTCTGACAAATACATTTAGGCTAATGATATAATGTGTGTAGAAAATAGAAGCATTTTCAGTAGTTGCCTCAACCTTTTGTCTCTTTTTGGACCAGCCACACCTCACGAAATGGACTTCAGAAATGAGATGAGTTTCACTTTGCAGAGAATTTGCAAAATCCAGCCTGGGGAAGTTATTACAGTCACAAAAACTGTATTGCGAAAAGTGCAATGCAAATAAATTGACTTGACTAAAAGGGCAATACTTTGTCTCAACTGCAAATTTGCAACTTTTAATATATTGAACAACATTTTAAAGCGGACATCCAGTCTGCTTAAGGTTTATTTTTTGGACTGTTTAAGGCCACTAATCAAATGTAAACACATTTGTGACATTGGTAACTCATTTGTATAGAAGGTGTGGTTTGTTTGCTTCCACTAAAGCACACAAGATGTCTCTGAAATTCCACTTCTGACAAATACATTTAGGCTAATGATATAATGTGTGTAGAAAATAGAAGCATTTTCAGTAGTTGCCTCAACCTTTTGTCTCTTTTTGGCCCAGCCACACCTCACGAAATGGACTTCAGAAATGAGATGAGTTTCACTTTGCAGAGAATTTGCAAAATCCAGCCTGGGGAAGTTATTACAGTCACACTGTTTCCTTTGTCCTTCTACAATAAAGTTGTGGTGGCACAAAGAAGCTCTGTAAGAAACACTAGAATTCAGATTCTCTTGTGTTGTGTGGTACAGTAGCGGCTTTGTCTCGCTGCACTGGGTTCAAACCTGACGACCTCCTGAGGAAGCATTGCTCTGAAATCTATAAATCTCTAGATCTGTTAACGTATATACGTTTTTATGAAAAATATACAGAATCATAAAAACTACTCATCTATGAATTTATTACAAATGGCAAAGTTTGCATAATTTCTCATGTTTATTACAGTGCTTCTGGATCTTTTGTCAAAGAAAAGTGATTGGTAATGCAATGAATTGTTTTTTTATTTTTTATGTGGACTTTGTGAGAGAATCTGTAGCACTTGTTGCCTGCGCAGCAGGGGCTGGGGCTGGGGGGTGTTGGGGTAGGTGATGATGACAATGATCTTACTGTGAAATGTCAGATAACTCCCGATGTTTCTGTGCAGGACTGGGGGAGGCGGACCTCAACCAGAACAATGGATGCTCCAGCAAGAGTCCAGTGGTGACTGACTCCATGAACGCTGCAGTAGATCTCAGCAGCTGGAACCATCCGAGCACAGCTGACCCTAATGCCTCAGGGCCCCGCCCCCACTTGGTCCGCCTCTTTTCTCGAGATGCCCCAGATCGCGAGGACAACACCTTCAAAGACCGCCCCTCGGAGTCTGATGAGCTGCAGACCATCCAGGAGCACGGCGGAGCTGGCTCAGATTGTGAATCTGAGTGTGCAGAGTAGGACCTAAAGTAGATTTGCTCTTTGCCCTCTCTTTCCTCACTCCTATTTTGGAAACAAACAAAAAAACACACCGCTGCAGAGATTAAAGCTAACACTCAGCATGGCATCTGCAAGCTCTTCACAGTCAACATTCAGGCTGGGCCGCAGTAAGAAGAACCCCACTGTTATGGATCAGATCGGAAAGTTCTTTGGAGGGGATAAAAAGAAGAAGGGAAAGGTGAGGATTGAGCAGGCATTCAGAGTTCTCCACATAAGCCTTTACTACTGTTCTATTTGCGTGAATTTATCTTGACCTGCAGTTATTGTTTGATTCCGAGATCACCACCAGTAAATTAGTTGCGTGTGGTTTTCTTTTTTTTTAAATTGACTTTTATGTCTTTATCTCTAAGTTTATTACACGTTGCTGTCATATAGTATCCAGTATTGAATAAAGCTGCAATTTGTTATAGGATTTACTGTGATTCAGGGATTCAGTATACAGTGTGATGTTTATAAACAACGTGACTTTCAGCTTTTATAAAATGTTCAAATGTATTCGAAATGCCTGTGTAACAAAATTACATGTTTTTATGACTTTTCACTGACAGCAACTGCAACGTTGAAAAGTTCTGTATTAATCAGAAAAGATGGTACATATAGCATATTGTACAATGAGTGGTACTATGTCTCAACCAGGATGTTTATGTTGGCGAAGAGAATTTTCACATATCTATGACAATTTCTTATACAGTACGTGACCGATAAATATTTTAAATTTTATAGCCATTTTCAAATCCATTTATCTTATATAACATCATGGTGTTAAGGGAGCACCTCAGGGTTTTTCATGGTACAGACAGAGGCCATTACTGATCAGTTTGGTTTCTAAAATGAATTTGCATAGTTTTGGAAATTATATTTAACATTTGTTATGCTTGAGAAATTATGCAATTTCTAGAGCCTTAACTTTAAAAAAAAGAGGGAGATCAATATTTTTCTTCTAAAATAAAGATATTAAGCTTTTAGGTGACAAACACCAAAGTTGGGAAACTTTTGCTTTGTGGGAAAATGTGAAATGAGATCTTGATGCAAGTTTATATTTGTGACCTTATTTTTAAAGTGCCATATGATGAATTGCAGAATTACTGACTTGTGCAGTGTGTAACATTTTGATTAACTAGTTTTAATATAGCTAAAATTTTTGTGGGGAAAAAATAATGTGACAAAGAGATTGAGATATCACAGTTCCAGTTGTATAATAGTTTTGTCTCAGACCTACATGTTCCTGCTTCAACCAGATTTCTCAAACATTCCTCAGGTTAACTCATCTCTCTTATGTAACAATGTGATCTTTAAGTGTTAATGCCTCACTAGTAACCCCTATAGATTATGTCCCATTTGTAACACTTTGTAACAACAGCTTGTGTAACCTACATATTCTGGAACAACCCTGACGATGTTCTTCAGCCTGATCCTGTCCTGAGCTTTTTGACATTTGCTTGATTAAAATGTATGTAACATGAACACTGGCCTTTTTGTTTATTTGTTTTGAAATAGTGAGGCAATTTTGCTCTTTAAAAAAATAGTTTGTTGCTATGTGCGGTTTAAAAAAAATAAAAATTTTAACTGGTGTGGTCACAATGTGAATTTGAAATTGCCAAAGTAAACAGTTGACAGGTCAGGTCAAATTCATATGCATAAGCAAGATTAAGCAGTTTGTGAAAAGTATTAATGGAAATACAGTTGGTTTTAAATATATCCGTTGTCAAAAAGTCTGATGTGATTTCAATTTAAAAAAAATCTTTGTAATATTAAACGATCCTATGATTATTTTGCACTGACAGGAATCTGTTAATATTTGAATACAGAACATAAATTTTAACATTAATGAACCATGGATATGAAAACAACACTATTCCGTTTATTATTCACAGGCAGCCTTTCCTTGCTGCAAGTGTTGGGCAATATAGCTAAAAAAATAATTATTACTATTTAATGAAGATTTATAATTAGATTATGAATTTGCTCTGACGTTGTTTAAGCGTTGGTTACCTCAGAAAATCCTTAATTTTGAAACTTCCAGTAGAGCCAGTTAGATTCACAATTATTAATGCAAGTGAAATACAGTGGAAATAAAACGTTATACAAAGCCTAACCTTACTAACAAGCAAAACAACTAACAGTATACTTCCTGCAGTCTGCCAGGAGCAATATGTGGTAACTGCTCAGCAATACAGTGAAGGAAGGGGATATTTAAGTTTATGGATTGACCCGATGACTCAGCGAGGCAACCGTTTCTTCTTAATAGTAAGATTAAACAGAATGCAAGGGGGAAGATGTGTTGATGTATCTGTGAGAGGAAACTGGGAATAATGCCATTGAGGTATAAGGCTTCATAAAACGCAAAACAGGATGGCTCCAAAACCGAACATTTGTTCACAGTGGCCACCTTCTGTTCCTAAACTAATGCTAGTACACATAAAATGTGAAAGCCCAGGCCCAGATGGTGAGTCCAGCCCTTTAGATGGTTCCCATGGTGTTTCTCCCATCTCTCCTTGGCCATCATCCTTCGCTTAACCTAAAGACCAAACCCGGTGTCAGATCTGCCTCATATATTATAATATAGGAACCCCCCCCCCCCTTCTTTATCATTGAGTCAGAAGTTGTAGTCTGACTGGCAGGCTAAGATCATGGAGGTAGAGACAGTAGTAAAGCTAGCAATAGAGGTCTGGCTTATTGGTGAGTGTCTGCCTAACAGCCTTGCTAGTTGTTTAGGTCTCTGTTGCGGTTTTAGCTCGTACTGTCATGATGTGTTTGTGGCCTTTGCTGACCACCTGCAATGAGTGCTTGTCTGGTCGTAGAGATTGCTGGCCGGGAAGGTCTGTGTTATGGTGTTTGCAGTATGCGAGTAAACCATCTGGCCTGTAGCATGAAGCGAGTTTCAGAGTAGGTTTAGAGTTGACAAAACCAAACAAATCCAGCCTGGTTTAGATCAGGATCAGCGGGCTCACAAAGCTCGAGATAAACATTCTCGGTGAGTTTGAACCAGAGTTTGTGATTAACTCGAGTGCGTGCTGACGCCTGAAAGTGTGACGTGGGCAGCAAACAGCCAATCACACGGAACGTGGAGAGCATCAGCAAAGCGTCAGTTGGATTCACTTCTCGCGAGAGTCAGCGCAATTCACTTTTCTGCTGTAGATTATGTCGTTATTAAAGGAACACTCCACTATTTTTGAAAATAGGCTTATTTTCCAACTCCCCTAGAGTTAAACAGTTTAGTTTTACCGTTTTCGAATCCATTCAGCCGATCTCCGGGTCTGGCGGTAGCACTTTCAGCTGTAGCTTCGCATAGATCAATGAATCTGATTAGACCGTTAGCATCTCGCTCAAAAATGACCAGAGTTTCTATATTTTTCCTATTTAAAACGCGACTCTTCTGTTGTTACATCGTGTACTAAGACCGACAGAAAATAAAAAGTTGCGATTTTCTAGGCCGATATGTCTAGGAACTATACTCTCACTCCGGCGTAATAATCAAGGAACTTTGCTGCCATACCATGGGTGCAGCAGGCGCAATGATATTACGCAGCAACTGAAAATAGGCTTATTGGAAGTTGCCTAGCTGGGGACTATTTTCAGGCGCTGCGTAATATCCCATGGTACGGCAGCAAAGTTCCTTGATTATTACGCCGGAATGAGAGTATAGTTCCTAGCCATATCGGCCTAGAAAATCGCAACTTTTCATTTTCCGTCGGTCTTAGTACACGATGTAACTACAGAAGTAGGAAATAGGAAGAAATAGGAAAAATATAGAAACTCTTTGGTCATTTTTGAGCGAGATGCTAACGGTCTAATCAGATTCAATGATCTATGCTAAGCTACAGCTGAAAGTGCTACCGCCAGACCCGAAGATCGGCTGAACGGATTCGAAAACGGTAAAACTCAACTGTTTAACTCTAGGGGAGTTGGAAAATGAGCCTATTCTCAAAAATAGTGGAGTGTTCCTTTAAAAATAAATTGAAATGCATTTACAAGGCAGAAATAAACACTTCTGCTAAAGCAAAAGTTTGAGAAGGCAGCAGAAAGAAAATATATGACTATGCAAAAGAATAAACTGAATTAAATTATTTACATTGTTTCGCACAGAGCTCAAAAGGAAAACATAAGTTTAGTAATTAAAAAATTTGGATATATTAAAGCTTATCTATATGTAACTATTTAATTTAATTTAAATGCAAAGCTTAAAATTGCCACTTCATATAATAATTATATGAATTAATTATACTAATTATAAACAATTATAATTAATATAACAAATATAATAAATAAGTAGCCGCAAAATTCGGGCAATTTTGTCTCTAAAATTCTAACTGCTTTAATTTGGAGCTAGCGATATAGGGGAGTGGCTTCATTGCATCAGCTATATGTCACTTTGCTTACAGCTGATTGGTCCAGTTTGGGTTTGCGATCTCTAACCCAGAATAAAACCTGCTCCGGAGCAGGGTAGCTGTGTAGCGTAAGTTACCATGGTGACGAAACTCGCACAAAAACGAGCTTAACTGGGTAAAACCCGAAACTGGCTTTGTGCTACAGGCCACAGGATACAATCTGGATCAAGCTGACTATGATTGATCGAGTCAGACAGAGACCAATATGAGTGTAAATGCCACTTACCATTTATGTGGAGGGTTTTTCAGAACTGCATTCAAAATGTTTATATAACGTGGGTTGCACTGTTGCCTCAACGCAAGAAGGTCCCTGGTTTGAGTCCCAGCTGAGCCAGTAGGCCTTATTCTGACCATGTTGGCAAAGGTTTCTTTCAGGTGCTCGGATTTTCCCCACAATCCAAATTGTCTGTAGATGTGTGTATGTGAGCCCTATGATGGACTGGGAGGGTGTCCCCCACCTGTGGCCCGAGTCGCTGGAATAAGCTTCAGCATTCATTGACCCTACAGAGGATAAGCATTTTGGGGCATGGATGGATACAAAGGCATGTTCACACCAATGTCTATTAATGCATCTGTTCAGACCAACATGAGCATCGGTCAATGTGACAGTTCGTTTTTAAATCTCTTTTCCATCACACTGTGAGGAAAACTGGCCAACCAGTAGGTTTCGTGTGTTTGGTCATATATGCCCAGAGCCACTGCTGTTAAAAACATACAGTACATAAAACCATGACTCATGGACAGACTGTGGTAAGAGATTGTGAATAGCAGAGGAAAAAATCTGGGACCAGTTATCTTGTCCCTGTTGCTGTGTCCAAAATATGATACTGTATAGTAGGTACTACATTTGGTTTGAAACTTGCAAATGTTAAAAATGTCAGTATTCAGTATAGTATGAATATGTGCAGTATGAATGAAATCTGGATGTACTCCATCTGCCTTGCTGTCATTTTCATGTGATCTACAGCTTCACTGCCATTCACAAATACTCTCCCGTGGGCTCATGCGATAGTATAGTGTCCATCAGTTGCACACTCCTGAAGTTATCTGGGTACTTTTTACCTACTGTTTTACTACGCGGGGTTGGTGTTTGGTGTCGTTTGTGAATACAGAACAGTGAATACAAAAATCTCGGACTTTCTTTCTCCTCCGTGACAAGCAGGTGTCAAAAATAAAAAGTTATGTAGCATTTCTTTCCCCCAGAGTAACCAGGGTGTTTCTGCTTTTCTGAAAGTACCATCTGCTGTCAAAAAGTGAATCTACATGTTCATTCAGCTCTTCTGCTGTTTTTTTATGCATTGGTATGAACAAACAAATTGCATGCAAAAGTCTATGTTTTTGAGCTAAACACTTGTGTTGGTTTGAACAGGCCTTAAGAAGTTCTTTATAATATAGTACAAAATTACTTGGCGTAAACATGTATATTATATTTCTGTCTTGGTTGATATTCTGTCCGTTAAAATAAACCTACCATAAAAATGACAGACCCTTCATTTCTTTGTAAGTGGGCAAACGTACAAAATCAGCAGGGGATCAAATACATATTTTTCCCAGTGTAAGACTGACCTGAGAAACGTTTTCCCTGCAAACAGTTAATATGCGTGTCCTGTATTCCTGACCACTAAACCAGTAATTGCCGATCATTCATGACTTAACCATCCTCGAGTCAGTTCTTTCTTTTCAGTGAATTGGCTGAACAGTTGCAAAGCCTTCTGAATCAGTTCGCACTCATTCGAACCGCTTTCTCACCAAATCATCTAAACTGTTTTTAGGTTTTTGTCCTTAAAACACTCTTATGTGTAGCACTAATTTCTTACGCTTCTTATTCCAAGCCTCTGTTGCATAATAAAAGAGCTAGTAATGGAAGCTTGAACCATTGATATATGCAGACACTAATACAGTTATGAAATAAAGAGGGAGGGGCATGAAGGATGTATTTGAATATGCAATCTTCCCGACTACATAAAAAAAACAGTAGGTTAAATGTAAAAGTATGTCAAAAAAAAAAGTACAGTATTCATAATACAGTTGGCACACTTTTTCATCAGCTTTGGAAGTATTTTCCCTATTCATTGTTCCCACACTCTAAAAAATGCTGGGTTATATTTAACCCAGCATTTTTTAGAGTGCAC